GAGCTTTATGGTGAGTACCGAAGATTGTGTTCACAATTGACTGAGAACATGATTCAGCTATTTTAATGATGTTTGACTTTAAACATACCTATTTTTTTTTATTTGTTTTAAAATGAGTTCTGAAGAGCTACAAAGGTCTCTCACACGTTGATGAGCTTCAAGAAAATTCTGCTACAGAAGATACTATTACAAAGACATGCTGGCATGAGCAGTTAACTTCAGATTCTCATGAGTTCTGTAACTGCTTTTATCTGCCCCCAAGCCACACCTACACAGATAGAATTGTTTGTAAGGATATACTCTGAAGTGGACCACTGAAATGATGTGAGTTAAGCATGAGCCAAGAGAGAAATAGCAAACCCACAGTAGGGAGACTGAAGCAAACAGATGGCAGTGGGAAGCAGACTGCAGTGCTGAAATGAGTTGGCCTGCTGTGGAAAGTCTGTGGGCAAGCAGATAGGACAGCCCACAAAGGGTAGGGATGCTTGTGAGAAATCTGTTTTCAGCTGCCATCAGCTATTGAGTTTCCTACTAAACTAATTCGTTAAGGCTGAATTGCAAAGGCAAGTGACAGAACAGTCTAACTTGTGTATTTAAATAAATATTTCCTTCTTTGTAAACAAGACAGTGATTTGTATATAGAACAATAGGACTATGAAAAATGCTAACCACTGTATGTCCTGGTTTTCCCTTCTCTTTCTTTTCTCTTTTTTTCTCTTCTTCTTTTTTTCTCTTCTTTTTTTTCTCTTCTTTCCACTCCTTCACTGAAGGAGTTGTGAGTACCAGTGAGAAGGATGGTGTGTGCAGCAGAGCTGAGCCAGGTGTCTGCTCTCACACCTGATCCATGGGCACTGCTTTGGAACTGCAGCATGGAAGTTTGGAACTTGATAGGAATTCTGTTGCCTCTGGAAGTGTTTTTAGACAAATAAAACAAAATCCTGTAAGGAATGATGGAAAGAAACTGTTGAATCTCTTAACCCCTTTCTGCTCAGGGATTTATATCCTTGGGCAGCCTCTGGCCAAGTCACAGTTTTGCTATCTCTGTTTAATCTTAATGAAAAATTCAGTGAGCACAGTGCTTTGGCTCTTTCTTTTACAGTCGTTTCTTCTTTACTGTGGTCCGCATGCCACCCTCGTTAAATCCCAGCAATGGGCCCAGTCACGCTCGTACCTGCTTGCCTTTGAAGGGGGCTTGCAGTGCCCCGCGCCCGGGCTGCTTTCGTTCCTGCGGCTCGCTTCCTAGCAGCACATCTCCCTCTTGTGGCCACGCCGGGAATTTCTGCTCGTTAAAAAAATACGGTGTGAATCGACCGAAGTTTGAGAACAAAGGCACAAAACAGATGAGATTTCTTCTACTTCTTGTCTTCTCCCTACCTCTGCCTTGTAAGCCTCCAGCTCAGTAGTTGAGTGGCTAAAATACAGGCTTATTCACACCTGGTTGTGAAAAGGGAGTTCTATCTTTGTATCGCATGGTAGAAAGCATTGTCAGTTGTAGAGCTACTTCTCTGCTTCATCCTTCTTCCAGGCATTCTTTCTAGTTGCCTTCTCTAACCAGCCTTGCATGCTGAACAAACATGCAGCTGGAGGTAGTCCCACAGCTACTGCTATATCAGTTTTCCTGATGATATTTTATGTTGCTCAGTGTCTGCTGTCATCTGTCAAATTCATTCAGTGTATATATACAGAGTGTAGTTACTGTGCATTGGTTGGTATTTCCTGTCTTTCTGTGTATGTGAGCAGTTGTGGGAGGATTTTCTCCACTTGTTTTGTTTTAATATATATATAATCATATATATATTATCATATATCATTTATTGTGTATTTTGTTGCTTTGGTTTTTTTATGTACCTTGGCTATCTTCTTCCACATCCATTTCTACAACTTTGAGTTCTATCTTATTTGTTATTGGTGCACTATGCATTTTATTACATGTTATAGTATCATCCTTTCTTTTTAATGTGACTATGCATATACCTTTTTTTATGTCTCCATAAAACCACAGATGAAATATTTTTTATTGACAAGTGTAACTTGTATAACAAAAAACAACAAACAAAAAAAGCCATTTTAGAGGAGTCATAGTCACCTTCTCTTTTTTTCATATTGAGTTTTAAAACCAAAATAATTTCATAGGTACTGTGTAGAGTACCTTAAGCTGTATATCTTAGATGTATTCATGGATCAACATATTAGCATTACTGCTACTCATCTGAAACGTGTTTTGCCTTCTCCAGTTTAGAGGCAGAGAGCCACTCCATCTTGGGAGCTTCCTATCTGTATTGATGGTCTCCCTGTAGAAGTGAGAGGGCGCCAGCCATTACAAGTCATCTCCTGTTCTCTGACAAAATAGTGATTCTGAACTATGCTCTTTTTGCAGACAAATGCTTTCAACAGCTTATGTAAATGGTTATGAAGGGCTCTTCCCATCCACAATGGGACGACTTCATTAGATTTAAAAAAACCTTTCAGATATGTCATATGTAAAACAGTTGCTGAAGACTCAGGTGTAGTTGGAGCTGCAGTTGCTAACCAACAGTTTTCTCAGGTGCATGTGTTCATGAGGACGCTGAGTTTGTGGAATTACACATATGGCTGCTGTATTTCAAAAAGTGTTCAGTTGCTCTACTCTGCTGTAGCCTAGGTAAAGGTACACATTGAATAATTTATGCTGGGTTTTGTAACTTGGCACATTGTGATAAATACGTCTAAATTTTCACACAAAAAACACATGTAGCATAAAACTGTCTTCCATGTGAAGTGTTCAATGCCAATTGCTATGCATACGTGTTTAGGTTTTAGACTTCTGACTCGAAGGTGTAAAAGTCTCTTGAAATTAAGATGTACCAAGAAATACTTCAAGTAGATTCAAATTATTGACCATTATTGCATGTACTGTATTTGATTCGTGCAGAAGTCAGAATTGGGTGACTAAAGAACAATGTATTTCATAATTTGTAATGATAATGAGAAGAATCATATGTTCAGGTAAGAACTGAAATGCTCTTCCTTACAGGTTCAAATGGACCACAGTTGTTTACAGTTGAACAGTGGGGTACCCCTGAAAAATTGCCAAGAGCTCATACCTGGTGAGTATTTAATTTAGGTAAACTATATCCTTGAGTTAATGATGAAATGCTTAAGAATTTTCATCTGTTTTTCAGCTTTAATCGCTTGGATTTGCCCCCGTATGATTCATTTGAAGATTTATGGGATAAACTTCTTCTAGCGATTGAAAATACTCAGGGCTTTGATGGGGTGGATTAAACCACAGACATAAATTGTAACGGTCCAGTGCTGCAACTTCATTTCAAGGGTTTACAGATTTGAATTTTCCAGGGACTACCATTTTACTTAGTCACATGAGTTTTCAATCTTCATAGTGTCACTTGTAAAATAAGTATTAAAAATTCTCTAACGTTTGAAAACATATTTTGCCATTTCCACAGTTTTGTATACTTTGATAGTTACTACGAAATATACATTGGATGGGCCAGTGCCAAGTAAGTCAACAGCTAAAATGTTTTTAAGCAGTTGCTTGTTCTTACAGTATTTGACAGACTGTCCTGCAGTAAACTACTGAAGTAAAACTGTGAAGAAATCTTTGCAGAGGATGTAAATTTGAATTGCTGCTTTGAGAGAAACGACTAAAATTGTTAGTGAGTTAAAAATACGTACTTCATGTAATGCAATATCATCTGTGCTGCTTCAGGCTATTTGCTACAGACCTGCCCAAAGCACCTTATAATTCAGCATAATTGGTAAAACATTGCAGAACATCTGTTGGTGTTATCAGCTATCAGTTTGTAGAACGTTGACTTGCTTACAGTTTTTTTTATTTTATTATTTCTATTTCTAACTTGCTTTTGTTAAGACAGTGTAACAAAATTGGGACTTTCTATAAGGCACAAGCAGCATAATTCTGAATAGTAATGAGAAATTGTATCTTTTCTTGTCAGAATTTGTATACTGTTGGTTTATTGAGTGTTCACTTTTTTTGATAAATTTGTAGTTCAACAATGGATAATGTTTTCAATTCAGCATTTTTGCAACAAATTAATCTTAAAGCAAAATTTGTATGAGTATCACAGAGTATTGGTTACTGGTAGTTAGAGGCCTTTATTATCCATTCTTGCAGTATTGCACTACGTAACAATAAAGAACATGTTTACAGGGTTTTCTGGGCCAAGTTCAGCAGTCTGATGTGTGCAAGCTTCTCAGAAACGTATGGGAGTTTTGCACATATAACCAGGGGCAGAATTTGGTTCTTTAATATGTTTACAGGTTATGCTAATTTCTATAGCTGCATTTTTATATTTTTTCTCCACTGTTAGTCTAGAAACCAAATTTGTTAATACAGTATAACCAAAGTCATAACCAACAATGTGCAATTTATTGTAGATCGACCTGTCATATAAATATTAGTTTGATTTCTTTTGTAAATGTGGGTATTATTTTGTATGAATATTAATGCTTTTTTGTTTGTTTTTTTGAGCAAGTGCTGGTTAAAAAGATGAGTCAGCTTGATGATAAAAGAAAAAGAATTGATTGATATACCCAGCTTGCTGTAATTTGAACTTTTTATTACCAACATGATCAGAGGAAATGACAGCATCTAGCTTTGGCTAGCAAGTTTCTCTTTAGTCAGTCTTCAGAAATATGCAAGAAGGTATTGTAGCACATCTCTCTATGAAGATATGTAAATTGTGTAACTTGTAATGGGTCTTAAGGGATATTTAAAATCCCGGTTTGTTTTATTCTTTGACTAGGTTGCTAGGGCTGAGGATACTACATGTAAATAAAGGTAATTTATACAGATTTCCCAAATCTATAAGCAGTTTTGTAAAACACGAATGATATATCAGTAAATCTGTATAGATTTGAATGTAGCAGTATTTGTTGCATACTTTAAAGTATAAAATAAGAATCCTGAAAGCAGTAAATAAAAGTTTATTCTGATAAGTTGTGACTCAGTTATTCGAAGTGCAAGTTGATAATCTTGAAATAGTAACAATTCATTGCATTTAGTACTGTTAAGTACACTGTGAACAATAGTTCCACCATAATACATTACTGCATATATATGTAGCTGCTTACGTGCAGAAATACTGTTTGCCAGACATGCTGCCTTTAAAAAATGCTTTCTTAAAAGAGAAATTTTGGATAACTGCAAACCTTCATTGTATTGTCAGCCCAGAAACACTACACAGCAGAGAGGCAAAGGCCCCACAGAAACTCCAGCTGACTGTCAAGTTCAGTTCAACCTGTGGGAGAAGCCTTCTCAGCTGGTCACAGGCATACAGCTGACAGACATCAGTTGGTGAGTGCAGCAGTGGAAAGAAAAGAGCCCTGAAATTCTGCTCCCAGACAGCATGGAATGTCTAGCAGTGGTGGGGATGTACTACAGGGCTTGGTCCTCAGTGCCAGCTCTGGGAAACACCCTGATGCATGGGAGGGGGCTTGTGAGGAAGGATGCTGCTGCTAGAGAGTGTCTGGTACCTCTTCTAGGAGCTGAGGGCTCGTTAGCCTTACCTTCAGGAGCTGTGCTACAGGCATGGCACTGTGTTGCGCAGTTCAGGAGCCGGTGGACAAGGGAGCAGACTTGGAGCATCATGAAAGATGAACAACGGAACATAACCAGGATTTTTGTGGCGACCTTGTGGAGGCAAGTGATCAAATCATGGAGTGATGGTAAGAAGGGAAAGCTAAGGACCATAGATGGGCAGCTGCTGAATATAGATTCCCAGTGTGGACAAAGCTTGTGACCTCAGGCAGCAGAAGATGCTCTTCTTCACTAGCCTTAGGTATGAAATTTCAGAATTGTTTTGATGCTGTTGGAGACAAAGAAAGGGACAAGGTACAGTCGGGAAGGGCTCAGAGCTAGTTTAAAGCCAGAACTTTAAGCTAGTTTGTTGAGGGATGGCAGTAACAAACCAGCGTAGAGTGTGAGAACACGGGTCATTGGTGCTAATACTGGGGCATGTCGACAGGAGGTGGCCCTTGTGGAAGCTGCCAAAGGTTGAAGAGGGTCCACCTCAAGAGCCTGAATGCAGTTCACAGCCAGGAAAAGACTAGGAGGAGCAAGAACTCCTGTGTGCAGACACAAAATACAATGAAGGTGTGATGGGATGGTACATGTGGCTGCAGCTGCTTGGATGCAGGGAGCCCTTTGGAAGGGGGTTAGCAGGCTGATTTGGAGCCTTGCGATGTAGGACGTAAGAGACCAAGTATCCTGCTGTGGAGTTGGATTAGGTTACCCATTTCTCATGAAGAAGTAGGTAGAGTTGTCTTGAAAGCATCTCAAGGAACTCCGAAGTTGCAAACCATGGTTATTACAGGAGACTAAGTTCCCTGATCAATGCCAGAAAGCCACCATGAGGGATCTTGGAGGTTTCAGAAGGGAATGAGAAACAACTGAACCAGTGCTGGACTGGCTAACAAGGCTGGTGCTCCTGGATCTGCTGCATGTCACTTTTAACTTGTGTTTTCCCTCCTCCCTGCTCCTAGAAATGTCCCAGACTGGGAGGAAGGGGTTAACTCCAAAAAGCCTACTGAGATGGTTTAGCAAAGTATTTCACTAGAAACACTGTTACTAGTGTGGTTCTGTGAGCCAACTGCTGACCCCTTTCATAGTTCTGTGGATCGCACTTCATAAACACAGGAGGATGCAGTTCACCTCTGTAACAATTTCATTACTTTTGACACCCAGCAGTGCCAGGTGACAGTACATCAGAAAAAAATTCCCAGGTAGGTATGAGATAAATGTATTGATCAGTACAAAGCATAGATTTGAACAATATGCCAACTGTAGAGTGCAGGCTGGACCAGAAAGCAAGAGAGAGGACGGCCATGACAGAAATAGTTTCACTTTGTTTTAAACACTGAACTGAAAACTAATAGATGTTTTTAGTATTTGTTTTCTCTGCTGCTCCAAGACTGAGAGCAGTAAGCGTAAGAGTTCATTGCCATTGATCATGGCCTCTGCAAGCAATTATTTATTCAAACTGATGTTAATAGAACCTGAAAAATACAAGAATCTGGCCTGCATGTCACCTCTTCACTACTGATGAGGCTGTGGCCCCTGGCTGGTGCCTTCCTCGGCAGTTGCTATCTCATCTGATTGGCTTTGGTTTTCAGCAATGCAAAGAGCCCGAGGATTTTCTGGGTTACCGTGTGGCTTGGAACTCTGCTGAGAGCCGAAGGAGCTGAGAAAGCCGAGCGGTGCTGCGCGGGGTCACGAGATGGCGCCTCCGCTTCCAGGCTGCGCGGGAACGCAGCTGCAACACGACTGCTGTCCTTAGCTCACTTCAGCTAGTCTAAATCAGGTAAAGTATGTTTGAGCTGGTTCTAATGCAAAGTCTGCTTAGAGGCTTCCTTAAATTGTCAGCCTGTGTCAATAATTTTAGTATTTTGGTCCTTCTCTAAAATTGGCTTTCTGTACAATTTCCCATTTACTCTAAGGACTGTCATGTGTAAATGCTTTGTGGTGGTGTGTTACAGAAATGAGACCTTAGCTATGAATAAGAAACATCCAATAGCAACTTAAAACTCGGAGAGGGACCTGTGTCTTTTTTTCCCCTCAAAATTAACTTTTTCAGGCTGGGTTTTAGTCATCTCGATTCGTTCCTTTTTCATGAAGTGATATAGCTGATTCCTTAGCATTCTTCCTCCGTTGTGAGCCACAGCTGTGGGTTATTAGGGGGCTAAACAGTAATTTCTTTTAGGTGCAGCTGAGGCATCACTAGTGCTGCTCGAAGGAGACATGACATAAAGGATTTTTAATACTATCAGTAAGTCACGCCTGTAATATAGTAAACTTAAGGATAGGTTTGAGTCCAATAATTTTCCCTCCTTGTCCTCTTGTTTTTGTGTGTTTTTTTTTTTTTTTTTTTTTTTTTTTTTTTTTCCCCTCTCTAACATCACTGTTTCATGCACAAACGTACTTTGCAAACTACCTACTGCTTTGGTGTTTGATTTTTCTGCAAATCCTTAGTTTTGGTGCTGGTTCAGTAGTCGACTGTGTTCACAAAAATCAGTGCATTTCCCATTGAAATCCACAGACTCTCTGGCATACCTTCAAAATGAAACATGACCTGGATCGGCACAATTTCCTTTTTCCTTTTGTTCTTTTTTTCAGTGTGACTTAAACGTTACTTAGCCAATACATGATACTCTTACCAAGTCCCCAGAGTGGAAATTACATCATTACAATGAGAACATACTAAAACATGTATGAAATATTTAGAAGTGAAGATGTCTCTTTTAAGCACTGTTTTCATTTACTCATTCCTTGTGTGGTAAAAAGTAGCTTAGATTGTTAAAACAGAAGACTCACCTCTTTTGTCTGTCATTGCTTAGAATGTCTGTTTATTTGTGTTTTCCTTTCTGTTTCTTGTTAATTACTTTGTTGTGGCGCTTGGATTCCTCACGTAGATCATAAATCATTATCGAATTATCTTCTTTGTATGCGATTCTATTGGGAGGGGCAGTTTATTTTCATATCTCTCCTTTTTAATGAACCGTTTGTTTAAAGGAACCAGCGCTCCGTTCTTATGATGTGAACCGAGAGCAGCTCACGTATTATCTGCAGTAAGACCACCGCCAGCAACAAAAACGTCTGTACGTTCAAAAGGCAAACACCTACCGTCTTTGTTGTTGCAAACGAAGATTAAGCATTTATCTAGCTGCTGCATTGCTCTTCGTGGCTCACAAAATCAGCATGTGAGAAGCAAGCCTAGCTTTGGTACTCTTACACGGAGTCATTTTTCTTTGAAGTAGAGACTTAACTGCTTTTTCTGTGTGAAACGTGTATCATTAGCACGCTAATCAGAATACAAAAAGCTCGCAAAGGGGATAATGAGGGAGAACTTGTATGTAATACTTGTTTTACATCCACGTGACTCTGTAGAGAAATGTTTTGTTTCGCTGAGCTGTCCTTAATTTGAGGTTTCTTGCTTAATGAGACTTCAAACAAATTCTGCATTGTGGGTTTCAGGTTTTCATCCCAGAGAGAGGCTTGGGATTTCGGGGGGAGGGGGGGGGGGGGGGGGGGGAAGGGGGGAGGAAGGGGGAAGGGGCGGATGGCTTGAAAAACCTGAACAAACATTAAGTGAGCACGCCTCTTGAGGAAAGACAGATAAGGCAGCCTTCCTGCATGTGGCAGTGTAGAACTTCCAGCTGAAATATACCGCAGACTGAAAACATGCATTGCAATTTGTGTTTCTTAAGCCCTTTTGAGTGGATGTTAAATCTAATGAAAAACGTGTTCATAATTGTCTGATAGCTTTTCTGATATTTTCTACAAGTTGCAATATTTCTGACTTGGATTTTCTTTTGAGGGCTGTGAAGTACGACCTTTTGGAGGCTGCGAACACACATGTCCTGCTACACACTGCTGTTGGGAGCATGTGAAATGCTAAAGGTTTAAATCAAATTGCCCTGAGGAATGGTTACTGACCTTTTGAATGCAAAGCTGTCAAAACCTTCAGCTAGACATCGGCTAGAGAAGAACACTTACGGCAGATCAATGCAAATTAGCAAACAATGTGGTGCTGACTTTTGGTAATTCCTAGTTAGTAAGAAACAGCTCCCGTGCTCCAGCAGCTGCTGGAAACAAACCCAATGTGCTTGTGTTGCCATGAATAACATGTAATAAGGTGGTTTTGTTGTTGGTTGGTTTTTCTTTCTTTCTTTCTTTTGGGGAGGGGGAGGGGGGCGGAAAGGCTTTTATAATCTACTTAAGAAATTAAAAGTTTTCATTAATTACCAAATCCTGATACAGTTATCTGAGCAGGGCGCTTCACTGACTTCAAAGGGATTTTTGTCTGCTTAAGGAATGCAGGGTCAGGCCCTTAACTAGTGATAACTTTCTTCAGTGAGTTGTCAGATATGACGAACTATGCCACTTTAATGGAGGTTACCCTCGCCATGCCATGCCATCCCTTTGTCCTGAAAACCGCCTTTCTTCACTTGCTCAGGTAATTGAGTTTCTGGGTGGTTGCTATGTGCAGCTGGAAATGACTCTGCCCAAAACTGCACTTTCTGAAAATGTAATTTCTTTATGTTGAATAATAATAGCACATTATTTTCTGGTTATGATATGTAATAAATCTAGTGAAGGGAAGTGTTTGACAGATTTATGACTTCTCCCATTTTATGAATTGCTGCCCAACAATTAGTTGTCCCATCTTTAATAGTTTCATTCCTAATTAGTTCTTTCTTCACCATTGCTTGCTACAATGCAAAATTTTAAATGAGTGCCTTACTTTCTATGTCAACTTACAGAATTGAACCAAAAAGAACCCACCAGGAAACCATTCACATGTTGAATTTCACACCAGTAATTACAAGCAACCTCTTGTGTGAACAGTGGTAAGCAGTCATATATATATCCCTTGCTGATTAAATATTTCACAGATTGGTAAAAATAATTCAACATGCTTAATAGGAATGTTGCAGCTGCTCTTCTGTTAGTGTAGTTAAAAGTTAGCTACTAGAAAATTGAAGGTGCTGCTTCACCCAAAGCAAAGTAATAGTTGAGCTCTACTAATGTGGAACTAAAAGTTCTCTTCTTCAAAATAATTCACTTCTACTGTTCTACACGCTGAGAGTTCGAAGTCCGTCAAGACTGTAAGCACTTCCAAAAACAAATTTTCACTTATTTAAGTGTCCACAACTTGTTCTAATGGAATAAAAAGAGAAGAAATTTGAAAATTTTCACTGGAATTAGGAAAGCAAACATTTCAGTCGTGTAAATACTTTTTTTTTTTTTTTTTTTTTGAAGTCCAGTTATGTCATTAACTCCTCAGGTGTAAAGGCTGGCTCAGCTGATCTCTCCCTGTTGGAAGAAATTAATCCTGATGACGTTCTATGTAATGTAACAACTGGACAGCTCAGTTGGTCGATGTGGGGCTGCAGCTGTAGAAAGAATGGAATGAGATGGAAGAGCTCATGTGCCTTGGGGCATCCTGCCCTGGGGGTGCTGCAGCTTGTTTGGGGCACTTTGCAAAGGGCATCTGTGCATTTCTGCCTCTCCTGAAGCTGGTAGGAATTTCTGTACCCTCCTTGAGGGGAGGATTTGGGCTGCTCTGTCTGTTGAGGATTTTCTTATCTCTTTCTACACTACAGAATCGTGCTTCGGATGCTGCAAAAGCTTCTGCTGAATGAGATGCTGCTGCGCTGCTGGATGGGGTTTCTAGTCAGGCATTTGCATGGCCTGGTCCTCTGCTGAGCACGTTAGGCCAATTTCACTCACTCAGATGGAAACTCCTCATCACACAGCTTTTTTCCTAGTTACTTAGGATCAACTTTTTGTTGTGCATATGGTGTGTAGACAGGCAACTGCTGTAGAGAATGCAGTGGAGGGCAATGAGGATGATGAAGGGGCCTGGAGTATCTCCCTTATGAGGAAAGACTGAGAGTCCTGGAACTGTTTAGCCTGGAGAACAGAAAACAGAGAGGGGATCTTATCTGTGCTTATAAATATCTAGTGGGCAGGAGTCAAGTGGATGAAGCCAGGCTTATTTCAACAGTGCCAAGCAACAGAACAAGGGGCAACAGCCACAAAATGGAACACAGGAAGTTCCATAGGAACATGAAGGAAAACTTCTTTGCTGTGAGGGTGACAGAGCACTGGAACAGGCTGCCCAGAGAGGTTGTGGAGTCTCCTTCTACGGAGATACTCAGAAGCCATGTGGATGCTTTCCTATGCAATCTATATAGGAAACCTGCTTTAGCTGGAGGTTTAGACAAGAGATCTCCAGAGATCCCTTCCAACCCCAACAGTTCTGTGAGTCTGTGATTCTGTATGTTGTATGTGTGTAATTTGCCCAATGCAGCAAGTTCTGCCATGGGCCTACATTTGGCTACTTTGACCTTCCAGAGGTATCTGAACATAAATGACAGTGGAATGTTATTTAGACTCTAGCAAACATAGTCCTAGGGTGTATTGGATAACAGCATAGCTGAAACCAGGTTCTACAACCAGCAGCCTTAACTGCTGGATGTTCTCTTGGTCTCTGTAACTAGGCAGGTACAGCTCTCCGGGCCATATGCTGAACTGAACGAGGGACTTGACTGCAGTCAAAAAATATGTTCAGTTTTCCCCCTCCCATCTGATTTCTCACTTGGCCAGAGCAGCCCTTGTGCCCCCACCAGTGCTGACACGGCACTTTGCCAGTGCAGCATTGCACCAACCCAGGGGCTGATGCTGGTGACTGTTCTTGTAGGAGAGTCTCCCTGTGTGCCCATGCTCCTGCCCTTCACCACCCACCGGCAGGGCCACACAGAGCCCCGAGCCAATTGGGCCCTGTACCTCAGCCCCTGCCTGCTGCCCTTGGCTCCCCTGCAATGCTGTGCAGAAAGCTCTTTCCAAACAGTGGGAAGCCCTATGTCCTCCCAAGTGATTCCAGCAGCCCAGCTGAGGTAAAATGCCCGTGGCTGCAGCTGATGGAGGTGGTAATTTCAGCATCAAAATTACAACCTCCTGTGCTGCCCAGCTTTTGGCTCTCCTCAGCCCTGCCCCCTCACTCCTTCCTTGCACCCAGGTGTTGCCTTTAGTGGTCCAACCTGAATTCTTGATGAAGCCATTCTGCTTCAAGTCACAGCTCCATGTGGCCCTTCAAACATCTCGGTCTCCATCCCTGGAGCCCAGTTATGCACAGGGGCACTCACAGGATGAGAGTGCTTGCTCGTGAGGGGGAGGAGGTGCTGGGAACATGCCTTGAAGGCTCCCAATCTGTTTATCTTCACACTCCTGAGAGGCGATCACTCTCCCGTGACAGGGCAGTGCACTGAGGGAGCTGTGCTGGCAGAGGGGAGATAAACCGGCGGGACACAGGCTGTGTGGGCCAAGTGGCCTCTCCTTGACCAGCAATCCCTTATGTCTGTGGGAGATGGAGTGGGACAGGAGCAGCAGGAAGCCTCCTCCAATCCTTTTTAGTAGTTCCTCGGAATAAATTGTAGATAAGAGGAAAGACAGCTGAGAATGCAAAGACAAAGAAAAGAGCTGCAGCCTTTCACAGCAAAAACGAGTAGGTACCTGGAGTGAGGTACATACAGTGATTGATAGTTGGCCTCTGACTTGCTTTGTTTTTTGTTTATTTTATTTCCAGTAATTGTTTCCTGATTGCAAACATAGAGAGGGAAAAAAGACAAATGATTTGCGTGTTTCCTGTTGTAACAGCGGAGTGAAGGTAACTTATACGGGGATGAAAAGAGACCATATTTCATGCTTGTTGCTAAACAAATAGCTGCAGAACAGTGGGTTGTCATGCTAAGCGAAAAAGGCGCTGACAAAAAGCTGCCTCTGTCTCAAAGGTTTGAGAGATTCCTTTGTAGATTCAAACACAGAAAGTGGTAACCTAGGAGATATTCTCTTTCTGCCCATTTATTCTCCATCTGAAACTTATGTTGTTGACCCTGTGTATTAACATTTTGATTTATAGAAGATAACGTCATCATACAGTACCTCGGTATTTTCAGGATTTTGACTTTATATTTGTTGGAGAAATTGTTGAGTGAAGGGACTGTTCTGAGCCAATTAAAAATATATGCATTACTAATGCAGCATATGGGGCAGCTCTACCTGCTGGCTGTTTCTGTTCTTCCCTGCAATGTTCATAAACCATTATTAAAGTTATTCCATGTATTTTAATGCGCCAACTCTATAGCTGCTGCCCTGTGCTATTGCTGAACCGTCAGCAGCCTGGTGTGATCTTTCCTGATTCTGTGTTCATTTTATGTTATGAGAGGGAGTAAAACCAGGAGGAAACAAGTCCTACCAGGGAAAAAAAGGAACAGTTTTCTCATAGATCGGGTGTCTGAAGAAGCTCACTTGCAGGCAGGGTGGCATTGGCCCTGGCACAGGAGCTTGGGAGAGAGAGCATAGTTCTGCTGTTCACCTGAATCCCACAGTTAGAGCTCTGCACTATGTGTAAGGGGAAGAGCACTCCTGGGTTTGGGTATACTTTCAGGTCCATACCCTGTCTGTGCAGCTGTGTTGTGTGTTAA